CTGACCCTTGTCATGCTTTGGGGACCAACGGTTGAAATATTGCTGAAAGACTTAAAAAGCAGTAATCTTGGATTGGGAAGCTACTACAGTAGTGGGAAGATTAAGATGAGCAATGGACTATGAAATGATCTAAATGGCACAACCAAAATGTCAGAACTTGAGAACACTACAGTCTTTCCACCTAGAAACTGGAAATACAATTGCTCCCTCCTTGGTGTTTTGGGAAAGTTTAGGTCAGGAAAGAATGTGATACGCTAGATTTCCTTAAGTACTAAATGGAAAAATAGATGTGACTGTATCATTGCCCAAAAACAATGAACATATTCTTTAATATCAGAAATGATGGGGTCAATTTTGACTGTTATTAACTATTTTGTTTATTCCCTACCTTATTCTATGAAGGATTAAGGCTGAATATGAAAATTTAGCCTTATGTAATTATGTAAACTTCTTTCTTTCTCTACTTGATATTTTCAGATTTGTCCCCAGTCAAGTCATGATGCCATTCCTTTAATCCTTTGTACTGCTCTATAAATTACCTGCATGTCAAGGCTCATTACTGCTCTGCTTTGGTTTGGTTCATTTCTCTATTAAGGAAGCAATCACAAGCCTGACCATATTCAAGAGGAAAGGACTTCAGATTCTACTTCTCAATGAGAAAAATGACAAAGAATTTGCAGCCATGTATTAAGGTACCATAGTTCACCCTCTAGCCAGTTTTTTTTTTCTTTTCTTTTCCTCTCTCAAGATCTCCCAGAAGCTTCATCCAATTACCTCATCAGGCTCAGGCTTAAGGTCTAGATCTCATCACCTAAGTCAGGTCCAAGTGTGGACAAGGCTCAGGGGGGTTAGCTACTCTCCTAAGGATGATTTCTTTAGCTAGATCATGGAATTCATTACGTACATTTCCAACTTCCCTCATTACCACAGCAACAGTGATGCCAGATTTTTTACCACTACAGCAAGGTGCCCTTCCCTCCTGCTTCCAATCACATTTTGCTCATTTTCTTCCAAACTCACTGCCAGCCTCTTCAAAACCCACTGGGTTTCTGAACACCACCTGGTCTCAAAACGAATGCCTATATAGTAGGTTTGTGAAGCCAGCATCCCACTTTCAGGTACCAAATGTTGTTGTGCTTATCTATTGTTGCACCCTCAAACTCACTGGCCTTATATAACAATTTTAAATTTTGCTCATGATTTTGGGTGTCAGGAATTTAGGGAAAGGCTTAATTCTCCCTTGGGATCTTTCATACAGTCAAGTGTTGACTGGGGCTTCTGAAAACCCAACTGGACTGATTTATCCCTGGGAGCCCAGCTGAGCCTGTTGGCCAGGACTCCTCCATGAAGCTGCTACACACAGCTTGGGCTTCTTACAGCATGGTGACAGAGTTCTGGTCTTGTTTGCATTAGCTTTCTTGTTAACTTCTTACCTTCTTAGCTAATAGAGATAATTACTCTGGGAAAGGTTAAAAAAACAAAACCAAAACAAATTTTGGATCCTAACTTCAAGCACTTCCTAAGTAAATACAATAATGAACCAAATCACCCAAAGAGTAATCCATTTAAAAAGAAAACAAAATAAGAACTATTTATTTATTTACTTATTTATTTTTGAGACAAAGTCTGGCTCTGTCAACCAGGCTGGAGTGCAGTGGTGTGATGTCGGCTCACTGTAACACACACCTTCCAGGCTCAAGCCATCCTCCCACCTCAGCCTCCCAAGTAGCTGAGACTACAGGAGCACATCACGACACCTGGCTAATTTTTGTATTTTTTTGTAGAGACAAGGTTTTCACCATGTTGCCCAGGCTGGTCCCAAATTCATGAGCTCAAGCAATCAGCCAGCCTCAGCCTCCTGAAGGGCTAGGATTATAGGTGTGAGCCACTGCCACCACGCCTGGCCATAAAAATGTATTGATTGTTAAAACTGTGCTATTCTTATATACTTAATGATAGCAAAAGTATAGCAAAGAATAATTTGCATAATAAATATTCCCATGTTTTCTAGTTAGTACAATAATTGAATAGTAACCATGACCAAAGTAGGACAAAAGAAGGCTATTATCATAAAGGTTAGTTTGATCTTTCAAGATTTGATTACTTCTATCCAGACTCCACTTTATCCATTTGAACAGAGGCTCTGCTGTTCATCAATCAAATGTTAAGTGTCTCTGTTGCATTCAAGTGTTACCCTAGCTGGCCATATTCTACATAAAGGGCATTTCTCTCAGCAGATTTTGTAAAAAACAAACAAACAAAACAACAACAACAAAAAAAAAACTTCCGTGGAAACACTTCTTTATGAAAAGATCATGGATGAAAGTTAGGGCTGGGCACAGTGGCTCAAGCCTTTAATCCTAGCACTTTGGGAGGCTAAGATGGGTGGATCACCTGAGGTCAGGAGTTCAAGACCAACCTGGCCATCATGGTGAAACCCCATCTTTTAAAAAAGAAAGAAAGAAAGAAAGATAAGTCTACAAAAGCACTAATCTAATAAAGTTGGCAAAAGTCACCAAATTACCCATAACACATCAGTGAAACTGACTTATCACTATTTGCTCAAATGAAGGTATATATTCGTTCATGTTAAAAAACAATCCTTAACACTTCTAGTAACTTCTGCCATAGTTTCCCCTCATGCTTTTTTTAATTCAATATTAGATATATTCAAAGAATTAAGTTTATCTTGGAATGAAGCCAGTAAGGCTATTTATAGTACAGGGATGGAAAAAGGTATGTAGTGAATTTGGTGAGTCATTCATTTTAATCAGTGGCATTGGGATTAATCTGGAGACATCATCGAATTAATCTATTCAATATAGTTTTTTTTTATTGAGTAATATTTATCTGCCAATTTCCTTATGTGAATTAAGACATTTACAAACTGAATTTGGAGTTCTGGAACAAAATGGCAAATTTCTTATCTTGCTGCAGAGAAAATAATGGCATACACTCCTCTGTTTTGTCTACAGGAGACTGGCAATGGCTTTTCTTGCTCTGTATAAAGACACAAAACATTTTTCTATGGACTGCATCACACTGGCTTTGAGATACAGAGGAAAAACTTATTTAATGAAGGAATAAGGCAACCTAGTGAAAAGATTCTGGTCACAGGATGAGATCTTTGTGAAGTTCCTGTCATGTAGTCAAACTTTAATAACTCAAATTATGGGTCACCATGGAAATAATATATAAATTATATTGAAATGTATTAAAATTCAGAATAACTAGGTTATACAATGATAGCAAACAAATTACTACCCAAAACTACTATGATGCATTATTGATACAGTTAAGTATTACTTCATTTACTCCTCACAACAGCCCTGAAAGGCAGGTGATGTTTTCACACCTCCCAGGTAAGAAAACAGGTTGAGTAAGTAACCCAAGTCCATCAAAAAAAATAATGAAACTCAGGATCTGCCTGATTCCAAATCTGTTGCTTATATAACAAATTTCAATTCTATGATGAAGAGTAAAAACAAACAAAAAATTATATTGATAAGAAATATGTGACCCAAAGAGAAAGAAACTAAAATTCTATATTTTGTACAACAAAATTTATTTTATTATATTAGAGATTACATATTGTCCTACAACTTCATTAATGTTTAGAAGTTAAAATACTTTAATAACAAAAGAATGTTCTGAAGGTCTTAGAAGAGTATACTTAGTTTTGTGGCTTATGCTCCTTTATTTTTCTCTCCCTGCCTATTTTCCTGTCTTAATTTTTTGAACTCTCCAATTCTGTGTAGTTTTGGTACAGCAATATTGAGATTATCTTTTGGAAATGACTTTTAATTGGTGTTCTCAAAGTATTTCTCTAATTGGAAGATAATACTGAAGAGCAGGGAAAAATATTTTTCATTGTTTCCCAGTTAGGGTATAACTTTCTTTCTGCTAATACATTCTATGCACATTGACTACATGCTATTAATTATTGGTACTAGCTAATAGCTGATGTTCACAATCTTCACTCTAATAATAACATATTAAAGTTTCTTAAGTCAGAATTTAAAGGACAGAACCTATGTCTCTGGGGGAAAAAATGTTTAATCCATTCATATACAATTGTGTAACCCTTTAACAAAACATATTCACACTAGTTCCTTTGGTAGTTTAAAAAAAAATCCAAATAGGCCAGGAGTGGTGGCTCACACCTGTAATCACAGCGCTTTGGGAGGCTGAGGTATGTTTATCATGAGGTCAGTAGATCAAGACCATCCTGGCCAATATGGTAAAACCTCATCTCTACTAAAAAGAAACAAAAATTAGCTGGGCGTGGTAGTGCAATCCCAGCTACTCAGGAGGCTGAGGTAGGAGAATCACTTGAACCAGGGAGTTGGAGGTTGCAGTGAGCTGAGGTCGTGCCACTGCACTCCAGCCTGGTGACAGAGCAAGATGCTGCCATCTCAAAAAAAAAAAAAAAAAAAAAACCAAATAAAGAATCTCTATACTTTTCTTGTTTTCATTTTCATAGAAAAATCTTTAATTTAACAATAAATAACAGTATATCTCTTTGCTGGATATCTCTTGGGCAGAGACTAGAACCTTTTTGTATGTCAATGAGTTATCTGGTGAAATTCTTAATAATTGTTCCTTCTTTTCAAATTTGCTTATAAAAAGAAAAGTTTATATATTAACTAAAATGATCTAGGCCCTAGTTCTTATTAGTAAACAGCAACATGAACATAATTAGTTGCTTAATAGAATTTCAAAAGTAAAAATGATTAAAAATAAACCATAAAATTTTCTCTTTCTTTTTTATAATTGTATTTATTTCAGTAGTTTAGGCTTGTCTTTGACTAGAGTGTTTTGTGTTCATTTCTTACTGTCTGCCACCCGATAAATCCTGGTGAGGTACATTTCCTCCAGGAAGGACAACAATCAATAAGAGGAAGGCTTTTGGAAGAAAATAGTTAATTTTTGATACGTGGCACTGACTTAGTTATTCCATTAGCAAGTGTTAAATATTTTCTATGCCTGTATTTACTCACCCACAAGTCCTAAAACAATGTAGCCAATAATACACAGTAGGAAGATCATACAGCACAGAACATCTGTACAACTCCTAAAGACAAAAAAAGAAATAAATAATTAAAAGAGGTCCAAAATGACTTCCTGTTTACTGCACAAAATGAAGAGAGAAAAAGATAATAATAGTGATATGCTATTTCATAATTGCATATTTATTCAATAATCTTGAAAGGTAGATCAGATGTATTTCTACAAAGACATTAGCAGCCATGGAGAGGAACTAGTTCCATGATTAATGAATATCCCTCAGAACTCTCAGTATTTGTTCTCGCTTGAGTTATTTATTTGCAAAATTTTTTTTTTTTTTTTTTTTGAGACGGAGTTTTGCTCTGGTTACCCAGGCTGGAGTGCAATGGCGCGATCTCGGCTCACCGCAGCCTCCGCCTCCTGGGTTCAGGCAATTCTCCTGCCTCAGCCTCCTGAGTAGCTGGGATTACAGGCACGCGCCACCATGCCCAGCTCATTTTTTGTAGTTTTAGTAGAGACGGGGTTTCACCATGTTGACCAGGATGGTCTCGATCTCTTGACCTCGTGATCCACCCGCCTCGGCCTCCCAAAGTGCTGGGATTACAGGCGTGAGCCACCGCGCCCGGCAGCTACTCAGGAGGCTGAGGCAGGAGAATTGCCTGAACCCAGGAGGCGGAGGCTGCGGTGAGCCGAGATTGCGCCATTGCACTCCAGCCTGGGTAACGAGAGCAAAACTCCATCTCAAAAAAAAAAAAAAAGATTAGAGTATGCCAACATCAGATAGCCATTTTTTACATGAAATTGTAAAATAAGAGATTTGATTTTATGATATTCCTCTTCATGCCTCCCCCACACATGGTATAAAATAGTCATTTCCCATCCCTCCTCTTCTCCATTTTCCTCCTACATACACAGTATACAGTTACTATTGTTAAAGGATTGACTACATTAACTTTCTATGGGGAGCTGAGTTATAACTATTCCAGTAACAATGTATATAAATCATTAAAAGTAGAATGCCTCAAAAGTATAACTTTTCTAGCTGTTTCTATAAGCTACATATTGTCAATATAGGATTAGAGGAAATCTGACTCACAGAGAATCAGTGATTTGTTAAAGGTCACAAGCCAAGCCAGGATCCAGCAGGGATACTCAAGGTTTTCAACTAAAGTATTTTCTATTCTCAATATTACATCTTGTTCAGCTTATAAGTGGTTTGGAAGGTCAAAGCTATAGCTTGAAAGTGAGCAGCAATACTGTCATTCTTTATTTAAAACTTAATGAAGACTCTGTTAGTAAAGAAAAAGATCAGCTAATTTAACAGAATTAAAAGTTGCACAAGAGAATTTTCATAGTGAAAGCTCTTGATCTTGAGGGCATACAGATATGCCCTAATCTTTTAGCACAGGCAGGTTGAAGTTACACACTTATTTTTGGACATGGTAAGTAATGAATAACAATTGTATAGTAACAAATACAGTAATACCTTACATTGGTAAAGCCTATTATATTTGTATTGCTTTCAGAAACATAACCTTGAGAGACTCCTAAGAATATCTTTAGGCTTCTAGAGGTAGTAAAGTGAGTTTGCTTACTTTAGTTAGGTACATGAAAGAGATTGTTACAGAGGGGGCAAATATCTAGATCTCCAACACCAAACCTTTTTCATTTGTGAGTTATGTTAATATGATTACAATTTTCTGCAAAGTTTAAAAATAGCTACATCTAAAATTAATTATACACATTCCTATAATTCTTTACCTTGGAATAGGAAATGGATCTTTCATAGAGACAGTTAATTGTGCACAAACCAGAAACAAAATATCATTTGTTTAAATCTGGTTTCAACCCAGGAATTTTTAATTTCATTTGAATTTAAGAATTATGAGAATAATAATAACAAGAGAAGAAAGCAGTCACTCTAGTTTTTCTTGGTAATGGCCATTGAAAGCAAAAACCTGCTTGAGTGTGTGGAGGGTGTCTGTTTCACCTGCATTCTTACACATCCTACTTAATATCAGATTCTTAACCTGTCAGAGCAGTTGTTACATAACCTAACACCTAATAGAAAATGCATGCAGGTAAGAAACTCAAAAAGAAAAAACTAGAGCATAGATGTGCTTTAATTAGAAATCTTGCATTTGTCAAAGCCCTGGTGTGTAATCCTAACCAGCAGGAAGCTGGAGAGGGATGTAATCAGAAGCACCGGCCAGGGTGGCCTGCCATCCCATCCTTATATATCTATAATGTCACGTTTGTATCATTTCTAATAATGTATAGTATAACGCATACAGTAGTCTCCCCTTATTCACAAGGGAGACATTCTAAGACCCCCCAGTGGATGCCTGAAACTGCAGATGGTCCCAAACCCAATATTCTGGTTTTTTCCTATACATACAGACCTATGATAAAATTTACTTTATAAATTAAGTAAAATGAAGAAATTAACAATAATAAAATAGAACAATTATAACAAAATGCCACATCACTACTCCTGTGCATTAGAGCCATCATAAAGTAAAATCAGGGTTACTTGAACATAAGCATTGCGATACTGAGACAGCTGATCTGATAAGCAAGATGGCTAACAATTGATGAAGGAGCAGGCTGGACAGCATGGATACACTGGACAAAGAGATGATTCACATTCTGGGTGGGACAGAGTTTGACAGTGTGAGATTTTATCATGCTACTCAGAACAGTGGGCAATTTAAGACATCAATCATTTATTTCTATAATTTTCTATTTCATATTTTCTGCGCATCATGAATGGCCACAGATGACCTTGGATAATTGAAACCTCGGAAAGCAAAACTGCAAATAAAGGAGAACTATTGTGTTCATAATGACTTCACGTTACATACTATTATAAGGCTATGTGTTTATAAGGCTACATAGTCAATACAAGTAGGTAAACATCTAGAAAGATCAGTGAAAGAAACTTACCAATTTCAAAGGACAAAGCACAAAGAAAGAAGCAGAGCCTAAATGGAAGCTTTACGTTGTTGTTTTGTTTTGTTTTTGAGATGGAGTCTCGCTTCGTCACCCAGGCTGGAGTGCAGTGGCATGATCTAGGCTCACTGCAACTTCTGCCTCCCGGGTTCAACCGATTCTCCTGCCTCAGCCTCCTGAGTAGCTGGGACTAGAAGCACATGCCACCATGCCTGGCTAATCTTTGTATTTTTAGTATAGACGGTGTTTCACCATATTGGCCAGGCTGATCTCAAACTCCTGACCTTGTGATCCACCCACTTTGGTCTCCCAAAGTGCTGGGATTACAGGCATGAGCCACCACACCTGGTGGAAGTTTTTTAGTAAGTAAAACCCATACTGCTTGACTACTTGCACTAATGAATAAGCATCAGTTGGTGTTTTGTTTCTATATAGGGTTTTACACTATAATTTATTTCTTATTCTTTGGTGCCAAGGTAACACTAAAGCATCAGGAACTACCCTGTGCCCACACAACTATTCCCCCAGCAGTCTCTCACCACAATGGGACAGCATTTCTCAATAACTCATACCTTAAGATGTTTGGAGATTCTATCCTGGGGCTAGGGAAAATAATATATTAAAGTCTGCTTTGTTTTTCTGGTACACTGCTTTAGAGAAATAGCAGACCATAACCTATGGCCAGACTGGTTAATTTTGCCTTACTTAAACACAGAAGGTTGTTGAACAAACTGAAAATTATAAACAAAGAATTCAGATCTCCCCAGTAGTAGACATTAGTATTTCTAAATTTGTTTCTGTAGTAATTTGATTCTCTTTATTGCTTTAGAAATTTTTTAAAAATAGGGGTATGTGTGTATGTGTGTGTGTGTGTGTACTTTCAGGTAATGATAATTATCTGCTATTTTTTTTCCCATTAATTTATCTGTTTCACTCCCTTCCCACAGATATATTGTCTCTAAAAAACAATGCTTAGAAAGTTACTGGAAAATTGGATGTGAACAAATCAAAATATGGCTCAGGCACCATTTTGTGAGTCAAGAAACATGGCAGAAACTCAATTCAAATTTTTAGAAGTTGTAGTGCCTTATCATTGTTTCTTTCTTTTGATTTCAGAGCATCTGTCACAATCCTAAATATTCTATAGGCAATGAGTTCCATTTTTTAAGAAAAAAATAAGATTTTAATTGGGATAGTTTTCAAAACTCTCTAGACAGCTATTGAGATAACTGGATGATCTAAGCTCATGGCTGAAAATTATTCTGAATCATATTCTAGCTAGAGGCTTGTCATAACTGGACCTTTTCCTTAGGTGGATTGATTTTTACTTTCATAGCAAGCACTAGGAACCATTGTGCTAAGCTAAAAATGGGTTGCATCCCACTGGGTCCCAGAAAGAAGACAGAAAGAATAGTCATAGAGACATTTGCCCAACTCTCTCCCTCACCCTCCCTCCAAATCAAAGTCCCAGTTTTTCAAAACAAGCTGCTCACACCCACATTTATTAGACAGCCACTCAAAACTTTATTTAGTTTGTGTTTCCCTGGTATAAAAGCATTTTCAAAAGTTAAACTACAGAACTACTATTGCTCCCTAATATCTATTTTCCAAACTAAAAGAATAATAGTAGGATTCCAATTACATGTGCTTGTGCAGAATTCCCTTTTCCTTTTACCTCTGATCCACAAATGTTGCATGCCTATAGTCACCTAGACTTAAAGTGTTGGGAGTTTCCTTTGACGTTCCCTTTTTCCTAGCTTACCTTTTATATTCAATTGACAAGTTCTCTTGACTCCTTTTCTCTGATGTGTCTTTCATCCACCCCTTTCTTTCTATTCGTGTTGTCTGGACTCAGTCCAGGTTTTTAATGCTCTCTTCAGACTATTGCCATGATGTCTTAATTGGGCTTCTGCAAGTAGTTTCTGCCTGATCCAATTCAGTCTGTACCTCACTGATATTACCGATGTGTGATGATGTCAGTTTACTGTTTAAAAAATTGCAGGACGTCTCCACTACCTATTTGACAATTTCCAAATAGCTTAGATTCATCTTTAAGAACCTACAATAGCTTAGATTCATCTTTAAGAACCTACAATCTCAATCCTAATTCAAGCC